TCTTGGGCCACCTCGGGCCGTCGGAATGCAGAACTGACGCAATTGTCAAGCTCTTTGAACAACCTCAGGCACATCACTGATTTTGGCATCTTTTGGCCTTCATGGAGGCCCTCTTGGAGGCCTCTTTGGCCGTGTTGGGGACCTCTTGGTAGGCCTCTTGGGCTGTCTTGCGCCATCTTGGAGCCATTTTGGGCCACCCGTCTTGGTGGCCTCCTGGCCCGTCCGACGCCGTCGGAGGCCGTCTTGGGGGCCTCTCTTGGCCGACTTGGGGCCCTCTTGGGGTGCTCCAGGGCAGGCTTGGATGCCGTCTTGGGCGTCTTCGAGGCCTTTTCCGTCTTGGGGTTCGTTGGGGCCGTCTTGGGGGCCTCTTGGGCCGTTCTAGGGCCATCGTGGATGCCTTTTGGGCGATCTTGGGGCGATCTTCGGGGGCTCTTGGGCCGTCTCGGGCCGTCAGAAGGCCGACAAGACGTAAATGTCAAAGTCCTTCACACACCAAGGGGCACTCAATGCTTTCGGCCTCTTCTGGCCTTCCCCGATGGCCTCTTGGAGGCCTCTTGGGCCGTCTTGGAGTCCTCTTGGGGGCCTCTTGGGCTGTCTTAGGCCATTTTGGAGCCGTCTTGGGCCATCTTGGACCATCTGGGGCGAACTTGGGTGCCTCTTGGGGCCGTCCTGGAGGCTTCTTGGGCTGTCAGGAGGTCATTTTGGATGCCTTTGGGGCCATCTTGGGGCGATCTTGGGGACCTCTTGGGCCGCCTTGAGCTGTCGGAAGGCCGAAAAGAAGCACATGCCAAAATCCTTGAACGACTAAAGGGAAACCAATGATTTCTGCCTCTTCGGGTCCTCGTGGGGGACCTCTTCGGACCTCTTGGGCCATCGTGCGGGCCTCTTGGAGGCCTCTAGGGCCTTCTTGGAGGTTTCTCGGGCGGACTTCGGCGCATTCTGGACTCGCTTGGGCCGTCTTGGAGGCCATCTTGGACCATCTTGGGCGAACTTGGATGCCATCTTGGCCATCTAGGAGGCCGTCCTGGGCCATCTTGGAGCCATCTGGACCAGGAACAGTCTTCATAACCACCTCCAGAACAGCCTTCCGTGTGGCGGGCGGGACGCGTCGAAGCCCCAGGGGAGAGTTCTTTTCAAACATAACCTACGCAAAACCAGTACAATCTAGCACGCCAGGCACCCCTATGACAAGCACATGGGGCGGCGGATCGAAGACGCCTACGGCGAATCACTGCCGCTCCCTGCCTTTTGGAGTCGCCCATGTGGCCGAGCGTTGTGGCAATAGCTCTGCCAAGCTATCGGACCATGAATTCCCCCAACCGTTGTGGAAACCCTTCGGGGCTCTTTTGGGGGAGGATGGCGGGGAAGAGGAGGAGGAGGATGAGGATGAGGATGAGGATGAGGAGGAGGAGGAGGAGGAGGAGGAGGAGGAGGAGGAGGAAGAGGAGGAGGAGGAGGCATCTTGGGAGCCTCTAGGGGCACTCTTGGGGCCTCCTGGGAGCCTCCTGGGAGCCTCCTGGGAGCATCTTGGGGGCTTCCTCTTGGAGGCCTCCTTGGGCCTCTTGGGGTCCTTTGTGGGCTTCTCGGGGGACTTTTTGGCAGTCTCTGGGCACTCCTGGCCCGTCCGACTCCGTCGGAAGCCGTCTTGGGAGCCTTTTTGGGCCGACTTAAGGCCCTCTTGGGGTGCTCCAGGGCCGTCTTGGAGGCCATCTTGGGCCTCTTGGGTGCCTCTGGGGCCGTCTTGGGTCTCCTCTCGGGGCCGTCTTGGGGGCCTCTTGGGCCGTTCTGGGGCCATCTTGGAGGCTTCTTGGGCGATCTTGGGGCTATCTTTGGGGACTCCTGGGCCGTCTCGGGCCATCGGAAGGCCGACAAGACACAGATGCTAAAGTCTCTCAAACACTTAAGGTACATCAACGATTTTGGCCTCTTGGCCTTCCTGGAGGACCTCTTGGAGGCCTCTTTGGGCCGTCTTGAGGACCTCTTGGGGGCCTCTTGGGCTGTCTTGGGCCAGCTTGGGGCCATCTTGGGCCGTCTGGGTGGCCTCCTGGCCCGTCCGACGCCGTCGGAAGCCGTCTTGGGGGCCTCTCTGGGCCGACTTGGGGCCTTCTTGGGGTGCTCCAGGGCCGTCTTGGAGGCCATCTTGGGCGTCTTGGAGGCCTCTGGGGCCGTCTTGGGGCCCTTTTGGGGGCCGTCTTGGGGGCCTCTTGGGCCGTTCTGGGGCTATCCTGGAGGCCTCTTGGGCGATCTTTGGGGGCTCGGGGTCTCGGACCGTCGGAAGGCAGAAACGATGCAAACGCCACTTTGGCCTCTGCTGGCCTTCCTGGAGGCCCTCTTGGAGACCCTTGGTGCAGTCTTGGGAGACCTCTTCGGGGCCTCTTGGGGGCTGTCTTGGGCTGTCTTGGGCCATCCTGGGCCGTCTGGGTGGGCTCCTGGCCCGTCGGACGCCGTCGGAAGCAGTCTTGGGGGCCTCTCTGGGCCGACGTGGCCGTCTTGGAGGCCA